CTTACACAGATGGAATCCCTGCCACCCTCCCCTGACAGCAGCAGACTCAGGCACTCCCCGCAGCCAGAGACCTGAACAGCTACATTTCTGGACAGGCCCTCCATCTGGGTTGCCACGGTTTTCTTGGAATAAGTCCCCTGTCTGATGGAGACCATGTTTTAAAACTGTGGTCTCAGAAATTGCCGAGGGCTGGTCTCCTGAGCAAAGTGGGATAACACTTCCACACCCTGCCTGCACCCACAGCTGTAGCACCGTATGAGCAGTGTGGGCTGTGCTCACTTACTGAACCTCTCTGTTCTCAGTGGGCAGCAACAACGGTTACTCACCCAGTGTGCTCTGTCTGCGAAAGCTAGCTCTCAAGGTTATTTAAAGCTTATCACCAGATGCCAAGGTCAAGGGTGGGTGATGACACGTTTGTAGGGCATTTAAACTGTGCTGCAAATGTGCCAGCTCACTCATTCTTCTGAGTGTGGTGAGCCCCAAGGCTCAGATCCTAAGTGCAGTTGTACACAGAATACTTTTGTATGTTTGAAACCCCTGAAACTATGAGTTAATGAAAGTATTGACTAAATCTTAACTAGAGCATTCTAAACATGATGCTGTGATAATAACACTGTGTTCTTCCAGAGGGAGAAATCTAGAATTGGACAGCATTAAGCAATTATTTATTTACTAACTGGAGACATGTTAAAATTAGCATTGACAAAATGAGTTTAACTGTCAGTAAATGCTAACAGAATTCATGAAAATACCACACAAAGGATCATTTCTTCTGGATTGAAGGCTGAGACGCAGGGGGCAAGAATAAGTCAAATGGAATGATATGAAATAGCCCTAAACTGCCTGTCTCTGTGTTGTTATGGCATTCTCAAGAATTTCTATATGCTAATTCACATTTTCTTTCTGACTTCAGCCGCTCATACTTTACAGCTGCATTTGTCTAACTTTGTCCTTATTACTTTCAATACTTAATGTGGCATTTCCTTTTATGAAAGATGTCACATACCTATCATTTGAAGACTGCCTAACCTGTAAAGCTTAAACAATGTCTGATGCTACCCTGCTGGCATGGAAGAATTAGATGTGTCAAAAGAATTGTTTCGTTTTCATTTTCAGGAACCCTTTAGCCTTTCTGAAATCATTGCCAAGAATCCAAATAATGATGGAGAATTTTATGACATTTGTCTGCTCAGAATTTTACACTCCTTTTTAGTTTATTACTTAGCAAGTAATAAGACTCCCACTGCACAACAAGATATTAACAATAAAACTCTCATTTAGCATTCAATTTTAATTAAACTGTAGCCTGTTTAACTGAGTGCAGCTCTTTTTTCATTAATAGTTGCTATTTATTTTTCAGCATTTTCTTTTCCATCCTTTCTTATTTTAAACCACAGAAGGTAAAATATATATATTAAAAAAAAAAAACAAAAAAAAAAACCCTCCCTCCACCACGTGTCATTCCTCATGTAGAACATATTTCAAGTGCATGATCCGATTGTATTTCTGTGAATTTTGACCCTGCAGAGCATTGTATCTTTTGGAATATGTGTTACTACATAATGTTATGGTACCTTTCATTTTAACTAAACGTAATTAAAACAAGTATTGCTCATATTGCTACTTTTTAACTGAACCCATCTTCTGAATTCTGTCTAGAAATAAGAAAATTCCTTTTCTAACAGATCCACTTTAAATTACAGTAAAAAAGAAATGACAACAAAAATGAAGACCGAGATTGCTATGTAAGCCTTTTTCCACTATCACAATGCACCAATTCCTAAAACAAAACAGCTGCAGATTTTGTACATGTGGACTTAGATAATTGCATCCACTGTTCAAAGAAAAATCAACCTGAAATCTCACAAATCCAAGAACGTTAAGAACTTAAATAAAAATATATTCAGTATATTCAGCTCACTTCTGAATTTCTGGGCAATGGGACATAAAAAAAAAAAAAAAAAGAATGATCAGTGGATTTGCCATAATGTATTTTTTTTTTTTAATTAGATGTATTAAAAGTATAGAGATATGATAAACATACAAATTTTTAACAATTTATAAGTGGTTAGGCACTTAGTGTCTAAGACAATGAAGTCAATCTCCCACTTGTATAGGAACACTGACTTAGTATAGGCATAGAAAGAAAGTGGTAGTGTACCTACCATCATCAAAAAGTATGTTTTATTTTTGTCTTTGGTTTTATTTGTTAGTTTTTGAAACTCCCAGCAAGGAAGGGAACAACTAACCCATCCAGGTCCCCCTTTGCACCTTAAAAACTTCTGGTCTACAAATATTATTTCTAAATACAGTATAGAAATTCTTGTGCTTTAGGACATAAGCTAGTAATTAAGCCTACAAACATAGTTCATTTCAACAGTTTTGGTTGCTCTAGGTTTAACTGAAACATAAAATCTTGCCAAAGTCAATATTTATAAAGCATCAGAAGAATTAATTAGAATTTTGTTTTGAAAGAAAACTGGAAAGAAGTCTAGCAATACTGATATAATATGATACATTAAAAATATTAAAACTTTTTCTGCTTCCACTTTTTCTAATAGTCACATTTTCAAATTCCCTTTTCCTCTTTAAGTATTTTCCTTCATATTCAAGTATTGTAGTTGGGCATAAGAATATCACAAATAAAATATTTTGTTTATGTCTAAATTGAAAATTTTTCTGTGATCTCTTTTAAATAATTTGGGCCTGGCTACAAGTGGAAGCAGGATTATATCAGGAATATCCTGACAAAACATAACTCCTTCTTTTGTGTTAGAGATGAATGATGGTACTTCTCTACTTCCATTTCCCTGCCTTGTTCTGTGGGACATTCCAGTAGATTTTTCAATTTGTTTCCAATTGCAGTTAAGTTATGACTAAATTGTTCTTTTTTTAATTCTCTGGCTCAGGTTCATAACAACTTATTATCTGATCAGTGTTAGAACATGTGATTTTAAAGACTAGAAAAGATTAAATAAAAATGGACAGATCTTCCTCCAAGAAATAGTATGCACCTTTTCTTTACTGCTCACAAGCTATTATTCCCAGAATTGTGCCACAGTTCTGTTTTTTCCCATTATTTATTTATTTATTTTCCCCCCTGGAAAATAAGTAAAAAGCACAGTGCTTAATTTGGTTTAAGCATAAATTATTTCCTGATTCCACCTGTTCATCATCTGGTATTTTGTTTGTGTTCTTTTAAAGCTGATCAGTTCTCATCTAATCTTCTCATTTGAAAAATTCTAACTATAGGAAAGTTATCTATAAGAGAATATATGTGTACTAAAGACACAATTTTCTATACATTCCTATACTCTCATTTTCATATTTTCTATTTTGAGGAATGCTGCATGCAGATAAGTGATGTGTTTGGGATATCTATTAGACTAGTAATACTGGTGATACTTCTAACAGAAGAAATATTGTTCTGAGTAACCCCTTCTAGGTGACCCAACTCAACAATGGATTAGATAGTCTGCTCTGTTATTCTATGATTCTGTTATCTCCCAGCAAATTTTACTGTTAGTCCTGCAATAGTTTATCATCATTAATACACTGCTTAATTATAGTTACAGTTTCAAAATTGATAGACTTAATACACATTGTGACAAAACTGAGTTTATAAATCATAATAAAGTGTTCATCCTCTGATCTCTTCTTCAGTTACCTGAAACATTTATGTTCACAGCTATTAATGATGTTTAATTATCTCATCTTAATATCTTACCCTCTTTATGTTTCCATAACCTTCTACTATTTCCTTTGAATTTAACATTAGTCCTATGCAACTTCGAAAAATACAATATCTATTTAAAAGTTCAGTGTAAAAATACAGATATCACATAAACTATGAGACAAGCATTGCTCATTACAATTGCAATGTTAGTTCTAGATTTTTAAATGCCTAAAATTTGATATTAACACAGAAGATAACAGGTCATGCTGGGGTATATTTCTCCATTGAACCTCAAAATCAGAAAAGCTATTTTGCTACAAACTGACCCAAAAATGAGTTGGTAGTAGAGTCATGAAAATTTTTGTTTGTTTTGTTTTGTTTTCTGTTAGAAGGAAAAGTTTGCTATATTTGTGTATATTGATTAGAAATTGAACTTCAAGGAAGTTGTTTCTTTTTAAAAAAATTAATCAGTGTAATTTAATTTGTTCTTGTTTCTCATGAAAAATGGAAAGAAAAAGTTATTGCATTCCTCATTAAGCTGAAATTTTTTTCCACCTCTTGCTCTTTAGTTGAAAACAGGTGGATGAAATGAATCTTGTTTGATAATTAATAAGGTGGATTTAATTTCATTTAATATCTTATCCATCCTTTAAAAGAATGGTTATATAGTTATTAAACAGAAATCCAACAAAACAGTATCAGAAAGCCCCAAGAAATCTTCATAAATTCACATGATTTTTCGTGACTTTCCAATTGCCAAACTGCTTCATGGAGAAAAATAAATCCCTGCAACTTCAGAAAGATAAACTACTGCAGATTGAAAATAGCAAGCCACTAACTATAACCTAAAATCATTAGAACTGTCTAGGTTTCCAGAGATTAGTTTTAATATGATAGTCCCCACGTGTAAATAATGGAAATGGATTTCTGTGCTTGTAGTCAGAGATATTGTTTTAACCTCTATTATTTACAACAAAGATGGAAAAGCACAATCAAAGGATAAAATCACAACACAGAATTTAGCTGTTAAGGAAGAAGTCTAAAATTACAAGTGCTAATGCTTATCCCAATTTTTATCTCTCAAGTAGATTCTTGTTACAGCTTTTCTCACTTGTGGATAAGAAGGCGAAACCAAGTTGAAGTTAGCACTCTAAAAGACCTCCAAAACTGGACCGAGGTATTATTAGTGTTTGAATGTGAGTTGCTTTTAAATGACAGTCAGTACTATAGGCATTATTGGGATTAGAGAAGCAACTGAATTAAAGTAAAAAAATATTATCTTACTCTGTGGTTCAATGTACATATTTTATCCCACAACACTTACTAATTAACATTGCCTTTTGTCTGCAGATAGAAGGTGTAGAAGGTGATGGTCTTGCCTCCTTCCACTTGCCACTGGCATCACCTGAAAAAATATTAAACATTTTGAGTTCAGTATTTATTATGAATTCTACCTAAAATGTCTTGTTTACTTATCCAATCAGTTTTACAAAATAGTAAGAAATATATGGTCTGTCCACTGAAATAATCTTGCAGAAGAGCATCTAAAAAGGTAGAGTTTTAATAAGTAAAAAGGTACACAGTTTTTATTATCTATGAGACGTTTTCTGCTTTGTATTTTTGGTAGGTTGGTTCCTTGATTTTATGAGCTTTTTTTTTTT